CATAAGAATACATAAGAATACATTAATACGAGTGTGGGCGAAGATGATATAAGTGCTGCACTTATGAAGTATAACTTAGGGTTTCATTATCTGCTGATTACTAACGCGTTCAACATTATAGCCAAAGAAATAGAAATAATTTTATATCGTTCTTTTTTCTTTCTTTCAATGTTTAAAAAAGAGGAATATATTAGCTACTTCGTTAAAATCGAGGGCTAGAGCTTTTTCGTTTTCAACAGACATTGCTGATAACTCGAATAACCTTTCATGTCGGTAAATCGCAGGAAATATTTTATTATTTATATTTTCTTGAGCAATTTCAGTACTCAATGGGACAGTGAATAATAATCCTAATGCAATGCATAATTTAAGGTAAGTGTCAAATGCCTCTTACACAAAATGTATTCCAAATACAACAAATTCTCTTCTTCCGTTCCTTATCCACAAAACTCGTTATAGAATTGTAGCAACTCTGTTGATCTTGTGAGGCTATTCTTGTTCAAAAGCAACCATTTTTTTTCATAAAATCGTCTGCGCTGCTCATTCAGATTTCCATGTTTTATTTAATTCCAAAGATACTAAATTTTGAATGAATTCGTAAATTGCATTTCGCTGGGTTGACTGTGAAAACAGATTATAAATTGAAGACAGATACTAAGCAAGAAAGATAAACAAATGCTGACGAATATTTTCTTTGGGTGTTTGAACTTCGTCACAGGAATTGTAATCAAACCTTTCTTGTGATATACTTGTGACTCAAATCTTTCTTCCATGTCATATTCTCCAGCAATTCCCACTACTATCGATATAGCATTGGCTGAGCCATTTTCACGATTGACTTGAAGAATGCATTATGTTGCATGAAACTCAGCAGCCATTGCTCAGATACCTTTCTCTCAGGTTGGTAGAAACATTTCCTCTCAAGATCTGCTATGTAAGGTACCTTGAAGCGAACCACCTTTCATTTCCTTCCATTGGTGAGATGTAAGTTCCACATGAATAGCTTCATTCAAAGGAACCGCTACTTTGTGGAACGTACTCCCAAGAGGATGCTTCCACGATCATTACAACCTTAACCTCTTTATGTCTATTATTAACCGTTATTACTTACTCTGTAAGCTTCTACCGAGAGTGGCCTCGTACAGGATGAATATTATTGTAGAAAAAGTAGCGATTTGTGAGCCACATCTTGCATCACACATTGTTTTCGGAAGAATAGGCACTTTATTTAATAGTATTTCCCAATGAAAATTCGAGGTACAAAATAATGTATATAAATGATTAATTACCCCAAAAGAATTCAAGGTGCAATATATAAAACAAGTAAAGCCTTTTTGCTCGTCGCAAATAATTTTTACTGATCACATCTGTACTTTTTTTTAGCATTTCACCCCAAGCAAGGTAGGAGTGTCACGAGCACACAAAAGGTTACAGAGAGTGAGAGTAAGAGAAAAGAGGGGTGTTTGATTGGTTTATTTTGGTTTATTTTGCTTAACGGCATATCAACTCCAATGGGTTATTTAATGCCGACAATAATTTTAGGATAGATTCATATGAATAGAATATGTATTCTTTGGTTGAGATTGGTTTGGTTTATTTTGTTTTACGGCATATCAACCTCAATGGGTTATTTAATGCCGACAACATTTTTACGATAGATTTGTATGAATAGAATATGTATTCTTTGGTTTAGATTGGTTTGGTTTATTTTGCTTAACGGCATATCAACCTCAATGGGTTATTTAATGCCGACAATATTTTTTGGATAGATTTGTATGAATAGAATATGTATTCTTTGGTTTAGATTGGGTTGGTTTATTTTGCTTAACGGCATATCAACCTCAATGTGTTATTTAATGCCGACAATATTTTTTGGATAGATTCATATGAATAGACTATGTATTCTTTGGTTTAGATTGGTTTGGTTTATTTTGTTTTACGCCATATCAACCTCAATGGATTATTTAATGCCGACAACATTTTTAGGATAGATTCGTATGAATAGAATATGTATTCTTTGGTTTAGATTGGTTTGGTTTATTTTGTTTTACGGCATATCAACCTCAATGGGTTATTTAATGCCGACAACATTTTTAGGATAGATTCATATGAATAGAATATGTATTCTTTGGTTTAGATTGGTTTGGTTTATTTTGTTTTACGCCATATCAACCACATTTAATTATTTAATGCTGGCAAAAAATATTTATTGCTGGTCATATTTTGTTTTGTCAAAAATCTGTTTCTGGTAATATATTTCCTTCAAAACTGTATTGCTGGTAATATTTTTTCAAAAAATTATTGCTGGCAATAGTTAACTATTTTCCCATAGCTGGGACCCCTAACAGGTGCTACCACCCCGGGTCAGGTTGGACCTGAGAACACCACCAATTAAGAGGTGGTTCCACGCTCTTCAAAACCTTCTGATCAGAGGCCTTGCTGCTGCACGTAGTTTAACGTCTTACCCAAGACGGGGGGGTGTTTGAAGAAAGGATAAAAAGAAGGACGGTGATCAAGATCAAGGCATCAGAAGATGTCGCTTGACATTACATTTGAATATTTGAAAATTATAGCTATCAGAGAAGCAAGTAAGAGGAAGAGAGTTCCACTGTCGGGAAGTGCGAGAAAAGAAGCTGTTGGAGTAGAAGAGACGGTTACATTTAGCTGCTTCGACAATAAACGGGTGAGACCGAAATGCCAACCTCATAGCACGCTTAAATTCCTGCAGTTGGTGCACCTGTGAAAATAGCTCGTCAGAGCACTTGCTATGAAAATATTTGTAGAAAAGACAGAGGGAAGCCACATCACATCTGTGAGAAAGTGACTGGAATTGAGATGCCAGGTCAGGACCTATCACATTGCATATTTTGTCGAGAACTGCGAGATGAACAGCAGATTCCTAATAAAAAGGTTCTTTTTTCATATAAAAAAAAGTATATATTTCTTCATATTTTGTCTATAAAAAAAAGATACTTTCTTCAGAATACTACCCCCCCCCATGAAAATGTTACATCAATTTGGATTGGTTGAAAAAAGTGCTATTTTTGTATTTTGTTTCCAATATTTTTTCTATCAAGAAAAGATTCAATTCACAATGGGTGACCGTACAACAAAAAACTAATCAGTTTTTTTTTAATCTCCGCAAACTAAAGTAATCAAATTTGAAATTTTATTTAAAGAAAATTGGTTCATTTATATATAATTCTTTAAGTTTAACATACAAAAAACACACTTATTTTGAGGAGAGTGAACTTTACAGACATTCAAGAAAAAACTCATTGGTATGTTTGGAGAAATACCAAAAGTCCCGTTTGTAAAATACAGGGTCTCCCCACAAAATGACATCAATTTGTTGTCTAATACCTTAGCCAATTCTCACTCAAATTATCTCAAATGTTAACAAAATGTGTAAAAGCTAAGTTAACTGTGCGGAGATTAAGAATCTACCAGAAAGATGAATCGGGCGTTCCAGTGATAATGACAGTTTGTTGTTGAAATGGCCACCACAATAACCTGGCTTGACAGCTTGTGATTTTTTTTCTATCGGGCTATGGGAACGGACAGGTCTATATCCCCCTTCTTTCTACAAGCCTAGAGGAACTTAAGCAGAGAATGTTACGCAAGACATGCTACAGCGTGTTTGGCAGGAGCTGTACTACCATCTTGACGTGTGTCGTGTCACAAGTGGAGCTCATATTGAACATTTCTGAAGCTTTGTGAAATCGGTTATAAAATCTACATCCCTTTGAATATCATGGTAGCGGTTCGGATGAGCACTTCTTTATGGTATCTAGACATTTTAAATTTAAACCCAGTACTGGACTGGCGTCGAGATCTCATCAGTTTACAGTTGAGCTGGTTTGATGTAACTGTAAATTCTATGCTAACAGTTTCTTTTCTCGCACAAATCGCTTATGGAACTCCCTTCTGGCCTCATGCTTTCCAGCCAACTTTAATCTTCAAAAATTTAAATGCAATCTCAATCGCTATCTACTGTCCTCCTGATTACTCTTCTTTTTTTTCTCGTTCTTTAGTAATGTTTCTGCTTTTTAATTCTTCCACACCCAGTAATCCCTTTGTGTCTTAGTGGCTTTACTGTCTTGCATGGGGTGAAATCGATTAAAATTTCTTGTTCGAATTTTAAATATTTTATTTTTCAACATGAAGCTTATTTAATTTCGTCTGCGTGGGGCCACCTGTAGTTACTCAGTTATTAACATTTTAAATGCTGTCAATTTTGGGGGAACATCCTGTATTTTACGATGAAAAAAAGGTAAAAAAATTTTATATTATAGGAGAATTTTTTACTTGTAATGAAGGTCATTAACTTTTAAATTTTAATGAAAATCATTAATTTTTAACTTGTAATGAAGGTTATTAATTTTCAACTTTCAATGAAGGTCATTAATTTTTTATTTGTAATGAAGGTGCTAAATTTTTAACTTGCAATGAAGGTCATTAGTTATAATGAAGATCATTAATTTTTAAATTCTAGTGAAGGTCATTAATTTTTTACTTGTAATGAAGGTCATTAATGAGTAATCGCAAACACAGGTTTCTTGAAGCGTCTTGTTTGTCGTTTTACGCTGCATCGTACAAATAAATTTTTTTCTGTCATCTCTATATATTGTCTTGGAAATTACGGCTGTTTATAGACCCGGCAGAAATTCGTACATCTTGGGTGATGTATCCTACTTCGCCCACCGTATCCACCTGACCTTTCAATTTCGGATTTTTTCGATCCCTACAAATTCCTCGATGAATGAGAAGGACTTCAATTCTCTGGAATCCAGAGAAGACATCACCCACAAAGATACCAAGTTCTAGGAGAATGGAATCCTGAATCTGTAATGCAAGTTTTACTAACTGATAGTTGTGTGAAAAGAGATGGATTCATACCTTTCCCAAGAGTGAATATAACGAACCCAACCGGAATTGGAACTCAGTTCTCCGATTAACAATTGCGAACTATTATCCATTACACCACCCGCACATCCAAGCTTACAGCACCTGGTATTCCCAAGCAGTCATCCATCTAGGTGCTGACCAGCCACGACGTTGCTTAACTTCGGTAATAGTACGGGAACCGATGTTTCAACGTGATATGGCGGCATAACTAAATATGGTTGAAAAAAATGGAGGAAAATGGCACATATGAGATTGAACAAATCTACACCCTTGTGCAAATTAATTGTGCAGGAAGATGTGGAGAGCCATGATCACCTACACCCTTGTGCAAATTAATTGAAACAAAACTAATAATTCCGTTATTATTTACTTTTTTCGAATTTTTCCCATGAAACATAACCCAATGCACATATTAGTACTTCGTATGTCCATTGCACAAAGTCGTTCCTTGCCGATTGACCACAGATTCTCGATTGGATTTAAATTAGGAGAGTTTCCAGAACAGTCTATCGTACTTTGATTTGGTCACTGGTAAGGCTTGCCAGTGTGTTCGTGCAGTGTGACGTTACAATTTTCGTACGTTTCCTAGGGGAAACGTCCATCGCAGACAATGGCCGTAGTACAACTAATCGAGAGTCGAGACAGTAGTTTTCTGGACGTGATAAAAATCTGATGCAATCACGGATGATGCAACATTTTTCAAGGTCAAACAACGTCATACACCCTGAAAAAAGATTCATATTACTTCACACCACTGCGAATGAACTAATCTGAGGAAAAAAATAGAAATCGATTACACACTGTGGCTCCAGTGAGTCTAAAACTGATCGAATCTTGAAAGAAAGGAAACTAAAGCAGTTGTTTCAATTAATTTGCACAAGGGTATATGTACAGATATCGAAATATTGTCTTTGATATTCATTTTAAAAATACTATGAACTATTGTTCCAAATCAATATTTACTAAAGATTGTATAGCACAAGGATAAAGTAAGTGTACATCAATGAAGATCGGAACTCGATTCATAATGGAAAAGATGAGCTAAATTAGCTTATCAATCATTACATCACTTAGATACTTATACACGCTCTAATACTTGAAAAAAGTAGTTTCTCTCTATTGCCTGACAAAGTCAAATGATTTTCTTTTTAGCACTTAACCAATAAAACATTTGCAGCAAAAATTTTTTCCCCGCAGTAGGTGGTCATCAAGACTATAGAACCCGATCTGTCCTGCTATTTACCCATAGCTGAGGGGAGAAGGGGATTTATACCTTTCACAAGGGTATTAGCTCGTAAGTGAATGTAATGGATCTGACTGGAATTCGAACTCAGCTCTCCGATTCCTCAATCCGAGCCGCTATCCATTACTCCACCGTGCCTTAACCAAAAAAATATCTGCGACAAAAATAATACATGAATTTTATCATCACGGTATAAATACTGTCGTAATATAAGGAGAACTATTTTTCTGATTTCAAACAGCTACCAGTCAAATTAAATATCGTCTTTTACTCTCTTTTTCTTTCTTTCTTTCTTTCTTTACCTCTAGTTGTCTCTCCTCTTCTCGCTATCTTTCTCCTTTAATTCCCTCTGTATTTCTTTTCCTTCTCTTTTTTCTCTCTCCTTTCCCTCTCTCCCTTTCTCTTTCTTGGACTTCTCTCTGTATTTCTTTTCCTTCTCTTTTTTCTCTCTCCTTTCCCTCTCTCCCTTTCTCTTTCTTGGACTTCTCTCTGTATTTCTTTTCCTTCTCTTTTTTCTCTCTCCTTTCCCTCTCTCCCTTTCTCTTTCTTGGACTTCTCTCTGTATTTCTTTTCTTTCTCTTTTCTCTCTCTTTCCTCTCCCCTTTCTCTTTCTTGGACTTCTCTCTGTATTTCTTTTCCTTCTCTTTTTCTCTCCTTTTCCCTCTCTCTTTTCTCTTTCTTGGACTTCTCTCTCTGTATTTCTTTTCCTTCTCTTTTTCTCTCTCTCTTTCCCTCTCCCCTTTCTCTTTCTTGGACTTCTCTCTGTTTTTTTTTTCTTCTCTCTTTTTCTCTCTCCTTTCCCTCTCTCCCTTTCTCTTTCTTGGACTTCTCTCTGTATTTCTTTTCCTTCTCTTTTTTCTCTCTCCTTTCCCTCTCTCCCTTTCTCTTTCTTGGACTTCTCTCTGTATTTCATTTCCTTCTAGCTGTCTCTCCATTCTCTCACTCTCCCACTTTTCTCTCTCCACTTTCTTTTTACTTTCTCTTTCTCCCAGTATTTCCTTTCACTCTAACTGCATCTTTCACTTTTCTCCCTTTCTTTTATTCTCCCTGTAGTTTCCCCTTTAGCACTCTTCTCTCTCTCTCTCTCTCTCTCTCTCTTCGCTCTCTCTTTCTCTCTTTCACTCTCTCCTTTTACTCACCCACTTTCAAATCAGGTTGGATAAGAGTGCCTCCGTGCGGGCTTACATATCTGTATATCTCCTTGCGTTGTCTCTTGTTTACGAATTTGTGTGTCCAGGGTTTGTTCTATATATATATATATATATATATATAAATTAATTGATTTAAAATATGTTTTTTTCACTACACAGTTCTAACCATGTTTCAAAATGGAAGCTAAAACTCGAATTTAATTTGTAATTAAATTAAAGACATTAGTTCCATTTCATCCTCAAGCGAAATGGAACTAATGTCTTTAATTTAATTACAAAATTAAATTCGGAGCTTTCAGCTTCCATTTTTGAAACATGGTTAGAACTGTGTAGCGAAAAAAAACATATTTTTAATCAATTAATTTATAATATTAATGCTCTGTAAATTTACATTGAGCACTATTTTGTAAAAATAAAAATATCTATAAGAACACCGGATTATATATCTTACTGTTCTTTCTTTATATATATATATATATATATATATATGTTTTTGCTTAATATGTCTGCGTGCTGTTGTGTGTGTGATGTTTATGCCTAAAAGATATTAATGTGCTTCATTATGTCTGTGCGGGCGTATCTGGGTTTAGATGTGACGATCCATGTATCTGTCTGAGATGTGTGTGCTCCTGTGTTATTGTATATTTTTAATATCTGCGTGATTTGGAGGCTCGTGTCTAGGTTTGTGTGCCCTTGTGCGTGTGTGGACACTTGTGTACGTGTGTGCGTGCGTGCGTGCGTGTGTGCGCGCGCTCGCTCGCGGGTGTCTGCGCGTGTAGTTTGGATAGCGTATCACTAAAATCAATGCATTAATAATGAACCCGATAAGAGATATGAAATATCCAAAGCGGAAATTTTCCGATTCCCCCGTCCAAAAAGGAACACAAGAGGAAAGCACCATAATCGTGAATAATCAGGGCAAGTGTTCCACAAAGTCTTTCAGGACTATTTTTTTCTTCTTTTTTCTTTCTTCTTTTTTTTTTTCTTGATTTTTTCTTTTTTTTTTTTGTTTTGGTGGGTGGATATTGATTGGTTTTTGTAGTTGCTAGGTTTCGGCCACATCAAATGGTTCTATTCTTTAAACTTTCTTCTTCTTCTTCTTCTTCTTCTTCTTCTACTACTACTACTACTACTACTCTTCCTCTTTCTCCTTCTCCTCCTCTTTCTTCTTTTTCTTCTCCTCTTCCTACTTTGTCTTCTTCTCCTTCTTCTTCTCCTACCCCACTCTCTCCTTCTTCCGCCATTTTTCTTATTCTTTAATCATTTCTTCTTCTTTTCCTTCCCTTAGCCTTCTTCATTTTTTTTATTTATTCTTCCTATTATTAAAATTAATCTCTTTTATTTTTATTTTTATTATTATTTTCCTCTTTTACTCATTATTTTCTTCTTCTTCTTCTTCTTCTTCTTCTTCTTCTTCTACTACTACTACTACTACTACTACTTATCCTTCTTCTCCTCCCCTTTCTCCTTCTTCTTCTTCTTCTTCTCATTATTATTATTATTATCATTATTATTATTATTATTCCTGTCCATTTCTTCTTGTTCTTGTCCTTCATTTATTATTATTATTAATCTCCTTCATTTTTCCTTCTTCTTCTTCTTCTTCTTCTTCTTCTTCTGCTTCATCTTCCTCCTCTTCGTCTTGTTCTTCTCTTTCTTCTTCTTCTTCTTCTTCTTCTTCTGCTGGTGCTGCTGCTATCTTCTTCTTCCCTTCTCTTTCTTTTTTTTCCTGTCATTTGTCGCTCTTTCTTTTCTTCCTCCCCTTTATTATTCTCCCCCCCCTCTACTCTGTTTTCTTTTCTTTGATCTTCTCTCTTCTTTTTTGAATCCTTCGATTTTCAACACTTTTCATGCAACCGGATTGTTGTTTGCGCCAAACGGCTAACTTAATTAGATATCGCAGTAATAAACGGTGGTTGACATCAATGATCCGTTCAAGAGATTTGCACTTGAATGCTAAAGTGCTACCCAGAAACTGAACCGTTAGCTTGACTCGACGTTAATAAAGAAGAAAAAAAAGCATTAGATAGATGCACTGTCTGAACGAACAGTTGTTGAATATAATTATTCTTTCTTTATTTTTTTCAATAGCTTTATTATTGTGTCAATTCAAATGTTCTCTATTATTTTTCAAAAATAAAACAAAAACGAAGACAAGGAATTAAATAATCCATTAGATTTTAGACAATCTCATTAGATTTTTATGCCATCTTAAGATTTCAGACATGCCTAATGTATTTTAGAGTTAGTGTAAAAATTCAACGGGGAGAGGATTGTAAAGATAAGAGATAAATCTAAAGGCACATAACAATAATGAAGGATGCCTTCCACAAACTAAGCAAGATAATGAGACATGGAAAAATTTCGTTACAATCAAAGAAAAGGGTACCGAAATGCAATGTAATGTCTATCCTCCTACAGAGCAATGCTTCTCTGTCTGTCTGTCTGTCTGTCTCTCTCTCTCTCTCTCTCTCTCTCTACCACACACACGCACACACACACACACACACACAGTAAGAAGACGGAGACGTTAATTATCCATTTCCTTTATCATTTTTATCTCGGGAAAAAATATAAATGAAATCGGTAATTACAGTCTCCGTCTTGTATTTATAATGTTCTGTAGTCTACATTGAGCTCCCTCTGGATTTGTTGTGGATTCCGGGATGGAATTCGGTCTCAAAATGAATGACAAACACAGGAATGAAATATAGCAAATAAATGTATTGACGTAATTGGTAATACGGTTAGTAGATCCAGAAATGCGGTTAGTAGCAATAATAATATATATATATATATACTGTGTGGGAA